TTAGAGGAAGGGTGCTTTGGAACTTTTGAAGATTTTGATCTATTTGTTAACTGAGTTGTAGGTGGAGTTTTCCTGTCCTGGCACCCACAGCCACCTTGAAACTTAATATTAACTGTATGCTTGGCCTATAGCTCAGACTTGTTACTACTTAACTCTTACATTGAAATTAACCCATATTTCTTATCTGCCCTCTGCCACCTGGCTTGGTACCTTTTTTCTCAGCATGGCATGTCCACATTGCTTCTCCCTGCTTCTTCTGCTAGCTACTCCTCGGGCCCTGCCCTTCTGCCAGCATTCTCAGTTTGGCTCTCCTGCTTAACCTTATCCTGTTCAGCTGTTGTCCAGGCAGCTTCTTCATTAACCAATGAGAGTAATACATACTCACATTGTACAGAAAGATTATTCCATAGCGCTGAACTTTTTTTTAAAAATGTAATATAGGGAAACATTAGGAGTGATGTTTATACTTACTGAAGAATTAATCAGTCTTAGGGCTGGGAACACACATGACTTTGAGCTTTGGAGTCTCTGTTATAATGTTCAGTACCGGAAGGTTCCCAGTGTAAAGCAGGTTAGTTCAAGATAGACTTCAATGCCTTAACCTTCACTGCCTTATTGTGCCTATGGACAGCTTCAATTCCTGTTGGTGGAATTCCTTAAAGCTCCCTTGCTCACTTAACTAATAGTGCTGGGAATGCTGATGAGCCGTTTGGCAGATGGGAAGTATGTTCTATGCTGGGTGGTTATCTATCACCGCATCCTAGTAATTCTAAATAACTGTGTGCTTTGCTTACAATTTTGTGGGTCAGAAAAAAACTTGTCTAGGATTTCATCAGGCAGAGTATCTGTAATTAGGACATCTTAACTCACATGTCTCCATGTAAATGATTACTTCTCTGTGCCCCCATGATGTCATTTCCTCTGATCACTTCAGTTTAGGTTACAGTACTTCGGTTTCAGTAGTCAGACCACCAGGTCAACCTCCCTTTGAGCAAGCATTCCAAACAACAGCAAGGGGAAGAAGCATGGATTTGCATGGGATCACTTTGTCATATCCAGCTGTCCCGGGCGGTCACAGAATCAGGAAATGAGAAGGGAGAACTCTTAGTGGGAACAACCACAGAGCAATTAACAGAAAGGGAAAACTGTTATGACAAATGCTTAACTGACTTTACTAATGGATGATTTACTCGTCTAATGGTTTAAGAGAGACTAGAAGAAGGAAAGGACAAGGATAAAAAGAGAAGAGTGGAAACGGTTTTCAAGGAAAGGACTGCGCTGTGCTTCCTAACTGTCTTCCTGGCCTGGGCCCTGAACTCTTGGTTCTGCAATCTGCCCTTGAGTCTTTGCCTGGCACGAGCTTGGGCTTTGGCGTTCATGTTTGCTCTTCTCCGTTTCCATCTCCACTTAGCCCCTACAGTCCTCCCGGGCTCACCCTCTGGCCCCGGCTGCCTCTTGTTGTTCTGTTCCATGTTGTCTTGTTACTTGGAAACATGATAGCTATAGAACATTACATGCCTTGCTCTTAATTTCAGGGAAAATGGGCTAGTCTGCATCATATTTCTACTTACATTTATGGATCTTTTATGATGAATGATGCCACCTTATCCTTAAATTTTAAGAGGACAGTGCTTTTACTGTTGGATCTTATGTGGAATGTGTGCATATACTTCAATATTAAATTAAAACACTTTGATTATATTTTTACAAATCCATAGTTATAATATTCAGGTTTTTATTTAATTTATCACTAATGTTTAAAAATTATAAATCTGCTAGTGTAAATTTATAGTAGCAATAGCTTTAAATTTGGAACATTAAATTTGTTATTACAAGAAAAGTAATGTAGTTTTGTAACACTTCAGACAGTGTAATTGAAAGTGAGAGCAGGTTCCTATGTCTCTATTCCCTACACTGTTCTGTTTTGGGGAACAGAGGCTTGTTTTTTGAGACAGGGTTTCTATGTATAGCTTTGGCTGTCCTGGGATGTGCTCTGTAGACCAGGCTGGCCTCAAGCTCAGAGATCCATCTGCCTCTGCTTCCCCAGTGCTGGGATTAAAGGCATGCCACCACCGCCCAGCTTACATAACTGTTTTCAACAGTTACTGTGTATCTGTCCAGACTTTGAAAACAATTTTTTTTGCAGGTGTAGACACAGAAGCATATAGTTAAGGTGTCTTTTAAAGACAGAAGTGAAGCCAAATGATGTGGTGCATTGGCACATGTTATACATGCCTGTAGTCCCGGCTACTCGGGAGGCTGAGGCAGGAGAATAAAGCCCAGGGAGAGGTTCCAGACTAATTTGGACAGCACCATGAGACTCTCTACAAACACAAAACAAGGGCCAGCAAACAAAAAATGGCCTTCCTACTATGGTGACTGAAGCCTTTTAAGTCAGGTACTTTGGAGGATGAGTCAAGAGGATTGAGAATTTGTGGCCAGCATGGGCTAACTAAGTAGCAAGACCTGGAAAAGTAGCATGTTTTAGACCTACTGCTTGGTACCAGTCTGTTCCTTTAGACACTGTATGAACAAGTTCCAGCTGTCTCTCAGCAGATTAGCAAAATACATAACTTCCTCATCCCTCTTTTCTGAATATAGTTCATGCCTCCTGGGATTGTAAAGTATTAAATGAGGTGATAGTCACAAAAGTTATAATAGTTCCTGGCATCATAATAACACTGGGTGCTATAGAAATATTAGCTCACTATAAATGAACTTTATGTTAAAGGAGGGTAGTGTTTGTGTTGCTAAAATATTTAGAATGTTGCAGGTTTAAGATTGTGTGTTTGGGTAAGGCTCTGTGTTTCCCTGTTGCATCAGTGTTTGTCTGTGGTAGTTTGAATAGTGATTTTAAGTACTTCTCACCTCCCTCCACAGCCCTCCTGTAGTGAGATGCTGTTACTGACAGGCAGTGTGGTAGAATGCTTGCCTGTGGGGTGATGGAAGTTGTGTTATTTATTTGTTGGTGTTATTTACATGTTGAGAAAACATGAGAGACAACGAACCCACTATAAGAATTTTTATTAGGAAGGGAAAGGGTGGAGATGGATAGGCCTACCGAAAAGAAAGGTACGAGCTACCTCTGGTGATGGTGAGAGGGACAGCAGGGAGCGGGAAGAGCCTGCGTTTATAGGTCACCTTATGCATGTGTATATGGGCTTGAGTGTGCATAAATTATGTGACCACACTTGGCACGGATTACAGATTACGTATGACGATGTAAGGCCCTGGAGTGACTTAAGCATTTTGCCTGACTGCTGACAGCACTTGCGCGGTCATGTGACTGCAGAAGTGGCTAGGAATAACAACAAGATGGGAAAAACAAAACATCTGAAAACCATCAGGCTTAGAAATTGATACTATATTACATATACATATACATATATATTTATTCTTTGGTTAAGCCTCTTGTTTGTTTTAGATTAACAATAATCTCTCTTTTAAAAAAAAGGTTGGCAAACCCATGAAACAAATACAGCTATTGCTTTATGAAATTTTGTGTTTTCAAGCTGTATAAAATACATGTGAATTGTTTTAATAAATAATAAAATCATCGGAAAAATGGATTATTTATGTTTATTTAATGTGTTTGCCTGCATGCTACGCACCGTGTGTGCCTGTTGCTCTTGGAAGCCAGAAGAGTATTGGATCCCCTAGAACTGGAGTTGCCATGTGGGTGGGTGGGTGGGAGAACCGGGTCGTCTTCAAGAGCAGCAGGTACACTTACTGCTGGGCCATCTCTCTAGTACTTGTTTAAGCCTTTTAAGAAAATTAGGTAGAAAGTAGAATTGGAAGAACTATATATATGAGGAGGAGTTGTGAGTGCCTTTCCTCCTTAGTTCTAGCCTGCTTTTAAAATGTTAAGATTTTAGAGGGTATGTTAGTCACTACCTGCTCTCCATTTTACAGTGACGACACAGAAAGGGGTCATGACATTCTCACTCTTGTCTCTAGTAACGATGGTAGAGCCAATACTAGAATCTGGGCTTCCAGTTCTCACCTTTCTGAATTCTTGTTGTTTGTTTTTGGGTTTTCCTAGACAGGGTTTCTCTGTGTAGCCCTGGCTGTCCTGGAACTTGCTCTGTAGACCAGGCTGGCTTTGAACTCAGAGATTCTCCTGCCTCTGCCTCCAAGTGCTGGGATTAAAGGCGTGCGCCACCACTGCCCAGCTCATAAGATCTTAACATGAAGTAAACTTTCATGTTATGACCTGTTCTATTCTTAAAATGACTGAGTTAAATTAATATGATTACATATTGGACTTGAGTGAGGTAATTGAATGAGGAAATGAAAAACATTTCTTTGAAATGAGTTGCTGGGAATCAAACACAGGGACTCCAACATGTTAGGCAAATGTCCATCACTGAGTCACAACAGCCCAACAAAAATTGTAATCCACACTTTAAAAGTTTCTATACCCTCTCCTGCCTGGCTCTGCTGTAACACTTAAATGAAAATAATTGTCTCACACCATCATCAAGAATTATGTGCATTTCATTTTTCATGTTTTCAGTAAAATACTTTTAGAAAACTAGGATTAGTCTTAACTGTGACTTAAGGTTATACCTCTAACTAAATCAAGGAAGAGTTGCTATTTATAGTTGTATATGACCTAAATGGAAAAGATGTGATTAAAAGAGACTTAAAAAGAAGAAGAAAAAAAATCCATCAAATGCTTTTAATGGGAAACCAGCCTATTAACCTATTGGGAGACTGCAAAAGACACTAAGTAATAAAGGGAACATGTGCATGTGCGTGTTGAATTTGTGGGGAGGCTGTTTGACTTGAGGCAGGTCCAAGGCACAACATGGTGGGCTTGCGTTTTCTTTTTGATCTGGCTTTCGGTAGACATCGTCTGTGTAAACTCTCTCCTAAAGTGTGATTCCTCAGGACACCTGCAAGTTCGAGGGATTTATAATCACAGGATACCATTAGAGATTGGGGAACAACGGGAAATAACACAATCCAAATGCTATGTTGTATTTTTCTTTTATTAGTGTGCAGGTCCAACAAAAGCCCCTGGGTCTGTTTGACTTGTTCAAGTGTCCACTGTGGAAGGTACGTGATATATTTATTATTCATTACCCTACTTGCTTAAAAAATTTGCCTGAAAGCTTTGTATTAAAGTGTATTTAATACTTTCGTTAATCAGAGCATGTAGTGCTCTCAGGTTGAATACTTTGTTGTCTGATACTGCAAGGGAAAATCTAGGGGGGAATCCCTTTATGCTGCTATGCAGAATTAAAATTTGGTGATTAAGATAACCTACTAGTAATATTTGCTTGGGAAAATGAAACAAGGAAACTTTTAAATCTTGAAACAAAAGTTTAGCAAATGATTGTTTTTTTAAAAATTTTTTGAGTAGGGTAAGATTTAAACCCACTTCAAAGTAGTGTACTTGATCCCATGTTTTCATTACTTCACCATAATCAGCGTGGAGCTGGTCTTGTTTCACTTGTTAATCTGCCCTGTCTACTTCCTTTACTGACGTGAATCAAATCCCAGATAGATTTTTCTGGGGGAAGAAAATCCTGAAAAGAATGAAATATTACAGATAATGGAATTAACTTTGAAAGTGACCTCTCTGTGTAGTTACTTATTCCTGCCAGAGATTTCAGTTAAAATATTTTGCCTTCTGAGTCTCGAGATGTGGCTCAGTTGGTAGAGCACTTTGCTGGCATGCATGAAGCCTTGGGTTCTGTTCTCAGCACTGCACAGGACTTAGTGTGGTAGTTATTCCTGTGTTCCCAACTCTCACGAGGTAGAGGCAGGAGGATCAGAAGTTTAAGATTATCCTTGGTTATGATCAGCCTGGGTTATATAGGCCGTCCTTGGTTACGTGAGACCTTGTCTCAAAACCAAACCAAACTGAAACAACAAACATTTTGCTTTCATTTAGATTTAGTAGCTCCCATTTCAGTCTTGAGCATTTCTTTCCAATTGTTGGCTTTAAAATGCCATTATTTAGATACTTCAATAACTGCTTCTAACTGTAGAATAAGGATATTTCTACTTCTTCCATTTCACTTTAGAAATCATCTCGTCTGAAAGCTGAGTATGGTAGTTCATGCCTGTAATTCTAACATGTGGGAGGAGGATTGCTGTGAGTTTGAGGCCAGCCTGTGGGAGTTCTAGGACAGTCTAACTTAAAGAATGAGATCTTGGAGCCAGGTGGTGGTGGCGCACGCCTTTAATCCAGCACTTGGGAGGCAAAGGCAGGCAGATCTCTTGTGAGTTCTAGGGCAGCCTGGTCTACAGAGCTAGTTCCAGGACAACCAGGGCTACACAGAGAAACGCTGTCTTGAAAAACAAAAACAAAACAAAAAGAAGACAAATAAACAAAACAAAACAAAAGAATGAAATCTTCTTTCAAAAAAATAAAGCAAACAAAACCCAACCTACCATCCCCCTCCCCCAAAAAAGAAAGGAAAAGGTATGTTGGGGCGGGGGGAGATGATCTACTTTGAATCTCTTCTAGCAGTCACATAACAGCTAAATCACAAGGATTTGAGTCTATGCTGTATTTACTGGGAATATTTTTTCATTGTTACTTTAAATCCTCATTGCACGAAGAATGCATTTTTTTTTTTTTTTTCGAGATAGGGTTTCTCTGTGTAGCTTTGCGCCTCTCCTGGAACTCACTTGGTAGCCCAGGCTGGCCTCGAACTCACAGAGATCCGCCTGGCTCTGCCTCCCGAGTGCTGGGATTAAAGGCGTGCGCCACCACCGCCCGGCTTAAGAATGCATTTTTTTGTTGTTCAAATATCTTGATATTTCACATTGAGTGCTGGAATTGAGTATCCTTCCCATGAACACTTAAGAGTACCTTTGGGAAATGTTGTGTATCTTCATTGTGGTTGCTGTGGTTTCAAAATCTCCAGGATCTGGGGAGCCTGAAAATACTTTGTTCAGATAATTTTTTAAAAAGACAAGTAGAAGCACTTAAATTCTCCACTGAAGAGTTACCTCCTCTGGTAGCTCTGAGAGGTGAGGCTGACAGTGCAGTAAGGGTCATGTGGCTCCTTCAGAGTGTGCCGTATCTAAATGCTGAAGGTCATACGCCAGTGGAAAGACTAGGACATTTCTGAGGAAAAAAAAAAAAAAACGGGAAAGATTAATGTTCTTGACAAATAGGAAGCAACAAACAGTTCTCTGGGCTTTGGAAAAGTAAGTTGAAGTTTTCTAGACTCTTCAGGTGGATTCTTTGTAATCAAAGGCAAATTCAAGTTTAGATTTTTTTTTTTTTTTTTAAAGACAAGGTTTCTCTGTGTAGCCCTGGCTGTTCTGGAACACTCTCTGTAGACCAGGCTGACCTCAAACTCATAGAGATCCACTTGCCTCTGCCTCCCCAGTGCTAGTCTCAAAGGCATGCACCACCACCACCTGTCAAGTTTAGAAATTGAACTTATTTTCAGAGAAGTATGATTAGTTGATTAAGTAGATAATGGAGAGCAGCCTGCTTTTGATCTTGGCATCTCTTATGTAATTTTAGTTGTTGTTGCCAGATATACCGATTTTTAAGTAACTTCAGACTATCTGCCTACAGGGAAGTCTTAAATGAATATCCTTTCAGTTTAATGTTTCAGAAAATATGGTGTCTCAGCAGATCTGAGGTAAACATTCTACTGTTCTTTACAACACCATCCTGCTTAGTTTCGAAATTCTGGACATTGTTATTGGGATCTGTGACATCCATGGTAAACTTTGCTTCTTGGGCAATAGACCATGCGTCTTAAAGAAGTTAAAATCTCAAACTGTGAGGGAAATACTTACTTTTATATAAGCCAGCTTTATACTGTTAACTTCTGACTAGTGTATTTGGGTATTGGCCAAAGCATTGCTAATTTTAATGTCATCCATCAATAATTACACTTTTATCACTGGCCTTTAGAGGGACATTTAATACTACTTCTTTTATCAAAATTTCTAGTTAGTGTAGTGGGTTTCACCATGCCATCCTCATACACAGATGTCAGTATCCTTTGTTCTTAATCACACTGGAACAATTTAAATATAGAGGACATTTGGAAACTGCAGCATTGTAGGTAAAGATCTTCTCTGTGTGTACTATGTAAAGACGATCAGTTTCCAAAGCCCTCAAGTGCTTATGCCATTCATTATTGCTGTTGTGAAGGCATTCTTCATTCCCATTCTCCATGGTTATGTGCTAAAAAGACAGACCATGAAGGAGGTTACTGAGCTTATACAGATAGAGTTTAGCTTTTCAGTTAAACAGCAAGCACTTCTAGTGTGCAGCAACACATTGTATCAGTAGTGCTTCATGGGCCCACTCTCCAAACAATTAGTTTGTTATTTACAGTAGTTAAATATATATGGGGAAATGCTAATGAAGTGAGCACACACACACTCATTTTGAGTCATGGATTATTTAATTTAATTGCCCAATGATCCATGTGATACACGTTCTGTAACCTCCATTCACAGGTGAGAAAACAAGTACAGAAAGGTTAGTAACTCATTGTGCTCCTATGGCCAACGTGTGAAAGGCCTGACTTTGAAAGGCCAGACTTTGAAAGGCCAGCTTCTAAGCATGTACCCTTAATTGTTATTTTATTTTAAAACTCGGTTTACTTTGGGAGGCCGAGGATCTATGGTTTTAAAGTCCAGGGTTAAAAAGTATTAAAAAAAAAGATTGAATTCTGAGTTGAGGGTAAGTGTATAAGTTTTCTTGGAATGTAGAGGCTGGACTTGAGCCGAGTACACACTACCACTCTCCTTCCCCAACTTATGTGCAGCTCCTGATTAACTATACTAGTGCTGAAACTGCTAAGTCTGTGTATTTTGGTGCCAGTGAACCAGCATTTGTTTTCACCACTTGAGGTTTTAAGTAATTCCTGCCTTCTGCAGACTGGCTGTTTTCAAGGAACTGGGATGTTGGTGTCCTAAGGGTTTTCTAGTGGAGGTCAGGGACAGCGTTCCACAGCCCTTTAGGAAAAGTGTAGATGGATTTGGGTGCAGACTGTGTGCTTATGGATGCTTACTTTGGTTTCAGTTTCCTTGCTGTAATAAAATGATTTATTAGGGTTGGTGAGATGGCTTAGTTGGTAAAGGCACTTGCCACCAAGACTGATCCCCCTGGATGGACCTACTTGGTAGCAAGGGAACCTACTCCCATGGATCATCTTCTAGCTTCTGCTTGTGCACCATGACATGGACCCCCTCCCCAAATAAATAGATGGAATAAAACATGGTTTATTAAACTTGAGTTGGTCAGGTGATAGTGGCACACACCTTTAATCCCAGCACTCGGGAGGCAGAGACATATGGATCTCTGTGAGTTTGAGGCCAGCCTGGTCTACAGAGGGAATTTTAGGACAGCCAGGGCTACAGAAACAACAACAAAACCCCCACAAAAACAGAAACAAACAAAAACTTGAGTTGGGAAGCTACAAAACTGGTAGGAATATAACCAACTGTTGGCTGTGTTTGTCCACATGGAGAAACTGCAGTTTTCCTAAACTTAAGATGATTGTGTTTTGTTTGGGTTGTTGTAAACAAATGCATTTCCATGAGGGTTGCTGAGGAGGCATTCAGAGAAAAGGTCTGAAGCCATATCCAGGAGGATACAGATTGCCCTACTTACTGTCTGACCTTCACATTGTAGGTGCAACTCCAACATATGCCCTGTGAAAAGAGGTCGATTAAGTTTGTGTGCAGAGTTTATTTACTTACTTATTTTTTTTAAATAATAACTCAAGCTGGGTGTTAGCAATTTTGAGAAAACTTTAACAAGGAAAAAAAAACTATAGGGAAAGTCTGAACATAGAAGTTAATAGTGATACTGTAAATAGCACTGAAATATATCACCAGATGATTCATTTTTTCAAGAGTTCTCATTCTAATTTGTTTAACAATTTCATTACTTTTACTACTTTCCAAAGCAATATTTAAATTAAAATAAAAATTTCCCTTGGCTTTGTAAGGTATGTGAACGGCCATGCAAAAAAACATTATGAAGATGCACAGATCCCCTTACCCAACCATAAGAGATCCGAAAAGCAAGAGAAAGCGCAGCATACAGTGTGTATGGATTGCAGTAGCTACAGCACATACTGGTAAGTTAATATCTTCTGGAAATGGTATCGGTTTAACAAATGTGTTCTTACAAGTTAAGCTTCTTTGTTTGAAAGATTGTTTTGATAATCTTCCTTATCTCATTGTGGTTCTATTTTCCTCTACTTCCTGAGAGGTAAATGTCAAGAATTCAGTGTTACCAACTCAGCATTTCAGGCTTTCTTCCCTGTAAAGTATCTTACACTTTAAGGGGAGGTTGTAGCTAGCCATGCCAGGTGGTGTATGCCCATATTCCTAGCATTCTGCAGGCTGAGCAAGATTCTGAGTTAGAGGTCATCCTGGGCTACAAAGCTAGATCCTGTGTCCAAAAAAGTGTAGGTTGGAAGCTTTGCTGTCTCCTCGTAATAATAATGTACATGTCCACTTCCTGTAAATGGTAGTAGTCATGTCTGTTTTTGTGACTACTTAGGAGTGAGTTATTCAGGCTGCAGGTGATGTTTAACAATTTGTTACCCATGTGGTATATGCAGAGAAGTTGGAATTTGCAGTTTCAACTTCTATGTGAAGCAATTTTTTTTGCCCTGATCATAAATTATGATGAACAATTTTTTAGTTGTTTTACTTTCAATTTTAAGGGTTGCTGACATTGGGGGAGCATTTAGAAGACCCTTTTAGAGTTATTTATTATGTATTTGCTAAATAGTCCTTGAATGTTACATGAAGGCAGTACTGAGCAGAAATGGGTATTTAAAGTCCAAATATCCATGTTTGTTGACTTGCTTTTGGTGAGGGGTTTGAGACAGGATTTTGCTATGTGGCCCAGGCTGGCTCGTACCTCAGCCTCCTGAGTGCTCGGCTTCTATCACCACACCCTTTTCCAGGTGTCCCCCAGACCCACACTTTGTGTTGAAGATTTTCCACACTGTCTGTAGCTAACTGTAGGAGATGTCCAGGAAAGAAAATGAGACCGGTGCTTTTTCAGGTCTCTTAATATTTTACAGGGTTAGCATAGTTAAAATTTGACTATTGAACACATCTGTTAAAAGTTTAAGTCATTCAGACAAGTATTCTTTGGTACTTGGAAGAGTGAGAGGTGCGAGAGAAGCTTAGAGATGGGTGAAGATCTCAGTAGAAGTTAGTGTTTTCTGAGATTTTCACACTAGGGCAGTGCTCACTCACTGTTGCTGCTGTTGTTGAACACTCCTCTCTACCACAGCTAAGCATCAGCCAGGTTGCTGCTGCTACTTGAGCCGGGGCCTTACAGAAGACTCCACCCCCAGCCTCGTCCTAGCCCTCCACAAAATCCCTGCCCCTTTTATATACCAGAATGGCACAGCTTCTTGGTCTGTAGAATCATGTGTTCGTGTTTATAACCATTTCTGCTTTAGAGAGAGCAGAAATTCAGGTCATCCTTGAATGTCTTTATTTCCCCACCATAGTCATAGGTCATATCAACCTGTGTGGTGCAGGTGCTGACAGCATTCATTCCTGATTTCAGTTAGCAGTGTGCATGGGATATTCGAAGGGAGCTTTGTAAACACAGTTGAATCTGTATGCTGTAAAAAGCTTGCTGGTGCTTTTCTTGCTATTGGTAAAATTCTGAGGAAATGGAAAATCTTTGAGGAAATTTAAGGATCAGCTTAATGGATTGAAATTATTTTCATAGATCTCTATAAGAACATCTATTATATATTTTAGTGGCTTTGCATTTTTGTTAACTTGACATTGGAATTTGATTTTTTTTACATTGCTGTAGTATACAAAGGTAGTAGGCATCATTTCATGGCTGAATTGAATTAGAAAATCTTGAACCTTGGTGGAGAATGCACTCGGGAGTGGCAGAAGCTTCCTGGCCAATTGCCAGTCTTTTGTGTGCGGTTGAACAGAGCTGTAAGTGTGTGGATACCCAGAGCTTCTGAATGCAGGAAGGAAGCTGCAGCTGGAGGGGTCACATTAGTGCTGCATTTGTGGGCTGGAGAACAGAATGCCAGGGAACCACACTGCAAAATTAGACTGACATAGAAATGCCCCAAAGGAACTGGTGATTGTTGTGAGCTCATGAGGCTTTGGGTGAAATTAGTGTTTCCCCATACCTTAATTGTTACAGAGAAACAGAGTTCTCTAAGTAGGAGTATTGTATCATTTCTCAATGCAGTTTAGGAAGTTCCTTGTACATCAGTTTCCGATGGCTAGACTGAATGGTAAGGTTCAAAGGTAAAAATAATTGAATATTTGATTATTAAGCATTTTGACTTCAGCTCTTTCTCCACTTCCTCTAGTAGTAATGATTGAACCCAGCTCCTTGGACATGCTCAGCAAACACTACTGAATTGTATCCAAGTTTCTTATTATTTTTTTAATTTGAGACTAGATTTTGCTAAAATATTCAGACTAGCCTTGAGTTTGCTCTATTGGAGCCCAGGGGTTACCCATTCAAATGCTGGGATTACAGGTGTGAGCCACCACACCCAACTACGAAACCCTCCTGAGGGAGACCTGCTCCCTCTTTTCCCCCAGGGTACTCTTGTGGAGGGAGAAGTGAGAAATATGTAAATAGAAATATAGAGGAGAGAGACAGTTAGAAACACAGGATAGCCTCGGGAGGGCCTGGGTCAAAACCCACCAGCCCCTTCTGTCCCTGCTAAAGGGCTGTTAAAGGAATGTCAAGGGGTGGAGCAAAGAGCTCCCCCAGCACAGCCAAGTGTAGACCATCCCAGACACCTGGTGATCATGCACGTGGTCCAGCCATCCCCTAATGCAGCCCTGCTGTGTCAAGCAAGCTCAGATCTCACTAGGAAACGTTTGTGGGCTCCCACACCCTCCCCACCCCTTTATGGTTGGTGTTACAAGATATTCTGAGGCTAACAGTTGTTACTGCCAGTGTGTGTCTGTGTGTGCACATGCGTGTAGAGATCATAGTTGTTCGGATGTCATTGCTTGGGTGACATCACCTTGTTGTTTGGAGACAGGATCTCTGGGATTTAGTTTAGACAAGGCTGTCTGCCCAGAGAGTTCAAGGGATCCCCAGGGCTGGGGTTACAGATACAACAGCTTTTTACATGGGTATTGGAGATCACACAGGTCCTTAGGGTATGTACTCCACCAAATGCACCATTTCTCCAGCCCCTGCTTACAGTTTTTGTCTTTATTTTCTTTTTCCAAGAGTCTTGCTCTGCCCTTTCCTTGTACATGAAGATATCACTGAAAATTTCTTTTCTCTGTCTAACTCTAGTTACAGAGGATAATCTCTATTGAGCTTGTACCCCCTGGACACTAGTCATTTCCTGCTACATGTCAGTAGTTTATAAACCTCCTTGGAGACTGCAGGAACCTTCTCTAGATGGTTCTGTTTTCCTCCTTGTCTTATGCAGACTAAGCAGTATATGTTTGAATGATGAAGGGCTGGGGCAGGAGCTCAGTCCTAAAGTGCTTGCCAAGTATGTGGAAGGCCTTGTTCAACCTCTAGTACCGGGTGGAAAAGCTTCTGTTAGCTAGCTTTAAAAGAGGGGAAAGGTGTACCAAATCTGTAATAGTCTGTCCTTTGGTCATCAGAGAGGACTGAAGCCACATGACAGAAGGCTACATTCCCTTCCCTCTGCAGATGGGCATCTCTGCAGGGAGCTCCTTTTAATTCTGATAGACACAGAGCCTCCAAAGAGAAAGCATAATTTTCAGTTTATTCTTTGTTAAGTAATGTTTCTCCCTTCCCATCCTGTTCCCTTCCCTACCTAATATAAATGGAATTACATGTGGTATATATTACTGTAGTTGAAAAGAAGCACAAATTAAAATCAGTTTTATGTAAATAGACATATGAAGGCAATAGATTAAAAATACCAAATAATTAATTGATATCTGACTTAGTCAACTTTAATCCTTATGAACAGTAGCTGAATGAGAATGAAGAATTATGAAAAGAATATTAAAATTACTAGAATGTCTTTTTCCCAAAAGTATCTTTTCAAACTGTTGTGAAATATGAACTAATTCATGCCTAAAAACTGCTTGTATTTCAGATTGTTTTTTTATTTTTTATTATACCTGGTCTGCTTTATCATTTTAACAGGATTAAAAAAATTAAAAAATTATTGTCACATAAACTCTTTAAATATAGATTTGATTCACACTCCCCCTTGTCTTTTGTTTCTTTGTGGGGGCGGATTTCTCTGTGTAGCCTTGGCTGTTCTCGATCTCACTCTGTAGGCTGGCCTCACAGAGATCCACCTGCCTCTGCCTCCCTCCCAAGTGCTGGCATTAAAGTCTTGTGTCATTACTGCCCAGGTTTCTTTCTCCCATTCCCTCTTTTATGTTCTCCCCCTCTTTAAGGTGGGGTCTATCTCTGTGGTCAAGGCTGGCCCCAAACTCATGCTTCGCTTCTGAGTGTTGGGATTGCTTCTCCCCTCCTTCAGATTTCTCTCCTTTCCTTTGTGAGGGATGGGGGGAAGGGTGGCAGGAGGAATCCTCACTGTGTTGCCAAAGCTGGCCTGGACTCCTGGGCTTAGGCAGTCCTGAGTGAAGGGGACCACAGGCTTAGACACAAACTGTCAGTATTTTCAAGAATGGAAAGCAGGAGAGATTTACTTAAAAAATTGTGTTTTGAAGTTTAAAAAGAAACTTCGTAATAGAAGCGACCTCAAATCCTGAAAGACTTCTGCTTATCTGATTTTAACGGGGGGGAGGGGGGGGATATTTTATCTGAGTGTACTCTTTCATTTCCATAATTGGGTATTGGAGGCCAAGACATTAGAATTTAATAAAAGAATTTAAATATACACTTGATTTCTAAAGACTTTCTTTTGGATTTTAACTTGAATAAGTTTGAAACATGAAATCATCAGAATGTCAGTTTGTTTTTTCTTCAGTATCTGTCATTTATAATAAGGTGGTTGGTTATATTTGTAAACATCAAAATGCTATGCATTTGAATGAAAATTAATTAAAAACTTAAATCTACTGTCCCCATTGTGAAGGAACTTTCTGCATTCTAGATGCTTTCTTTTGTGGTATTAAACATGCTTATTATATGAAGTGTTCGCTCCTT